CAAGCATTACCGCGTCTTGTGTGCAGGAGCCATAAGTGCAGCAGTGCAACTCAGTGCAGCTATAGGTCAGGGTAACGATCATGAATCTTTCATATGAACTTCATTTTCATTTTTCACTTTTCACTGTAAGTTATTTCACATGAAAAGTGAACAATGTGGGAAGCAATATTTATATAATATAGATTATTAAAATTAAAATGTAATTACAGTATACACAATGTAATATATAACTCATTAATAAGCATTATACAACAATTAAATTTATAGTTATAATATAATATAATAATACAATATGAGTAAATTTAATAAATGAGACGAACGTTAACCATGAAAGATGAATTCTCAAAACGTGAAATATTTCACGTGAACTTTCAGTTTGCTCGTATATGTTCTTCTTTACATGTAAATTGTGTAAGTTTCCATGAAAATTTTTAGGCATCAAGCGATGTGGTTTAAATGTAATATTACACTCGCATATTATGTACAAAGTAGAATTTTTTATAATGACTTTAATTTTTATGGTTATACGACAATTGGCATTTGAAGACAATTGACATAAGAATCCTATGTCCATTAAAAATAAACAACAAAAGCCAATTGAAGCGTGATGACGTATAGGTAGTGAAAGCATACCAACGAAGTTTGCAAAGTTAAGATACGTATGCATCAGAAAGTTAAAGTGTAATATATTATAAATTATATGCAGTAAGTAAAATGTAAGTTTATTTTATATATTTATTGCATGTATTTTATGTATTATTTTATATGAAATATTATATTATATTATATTATAATATTATTAGGTGTACAACTTTGCTTCCGCCGTTTTTTTCCGAAATTCGAGGCTTTATTGTAAAAAACTGGTTATACATTTATGATTCAAAGTATTGTCCATCGCTGGCCACTACTTTCTCCCATCTTTCGGGTAGCGTACGAATCCCGCATCGAAAAAACTGGTCATCTTTTGAGGCGATCCACGAATCGATCCAATTTTTTACTTCTTCATAAGACCGGAAGTGCTGGTCAGCCAGGCCGTGTGCCATTGATCGAATCAAATGATAGAGGGAGCAACGTCTGGAGAATACGGCGGGTGGGGTAGGACTTTCCATTTCAACGTTTCCAAATATGTCTTGACCACTTTCGCAACACGTGGTCGAGCATTGTCATGCTGCAAAATCACTTTATCGTGTCTTTCGTTGTATTGCGGCCGTTTGTCTTTCAATGTTCGGCTCAAACGCATCAATTGCATTCGATACCGATCGCCTGTGATTATTTCAGTCGGTTTTAACAGTTTATAATACTACTACAGTTTATACACTACGCCGAGCTGGTCCCATCAAATACAGAGCATGACTTTGGAGCCGTGAATATTCAGTTTGGCCGTCGACGTGGAAGCATGGGAACTCCCCATGATTTTCTGTGCTTTGGGGTTATCGTAATGAACCCATTTTTCGTTCCCAGTCACAATGCGATGCAGAAATCCCTTCCGTCTTTACCTTTCAAGCAGCTGTTCACAAGCAAACAAATGCCGTTCAACATCCCTCGGCTTCAATTCGTACAGCACCCAATTTCCTTGCTTCTGAATCATTCCCATGGCTTTGAGGCGTTTTGAAATGGCTTGTTGAGTCACTCCCAATGATCGTGTCAATTCTTCTTGATTTTGACACGAGTCTTGATCAAGTAATGCCTCCAATTCTGCATCTTCAAAAACCTTCTCTCTTCCACCGCTATGCCGGTCTTCGACATTAAAACCACCGTTCTTGAAGCGTTGAAACCACTCACGACACGTTCTTTCACTAATAGCGGCCTAACCATAAGTATTTGAGAGCATTCGATGAGCCTCAGCCGCAGATTTCTTCATATTGAAGCAGAAAATTAAAACCTCCCGCAAATGACAAGAATTTGGCTCGTAAACTGACATTTTCAATCGAAAATAACTTTATGATGCAGACACAAATCGACTAATGTTTCTATGGGGTTATGTTGACAGATGCCCAAGTTTATTGTATGACGTCTATGGTCATTTATTTCGACCACCACTTACCGCTAAAGCCATCTATAGGAAAACGACGGAAGCAAAGTTGTACACCTAATATATTATATATTATATTATTTATTTTATATGAAATATATATTTTCTGCAGATTTATAATTTTAATATGAATAGAATATTTTATCTTTTAATAATTTATCCTAAAGTAATCCCAGACAAGCAGACTTCCAAGGAACGTTCTAAAGACATCACTATGTCTTAAAAACATGCTGAAAAAATTCTAAAGATGTCCATTGCAAATTGGTATTGTCTTGAGTATTATAATATTATAATAATTGTTTTACTTACAAATTCACGTTAAATCTTTTATTTTGCACGAGTTTAGTGAAGGTTTTCATCTTTCACGAGTTCATTACAAAATTTTCACTTTTTACGAGTTTACAGTAGGGGAAAAGATTCATGATCGCTATCAAGGAGCGGGAGCGTCCCGATTGACCACTGTATGATTGGACATAACCAACCGATGAAAAGAATTATCTAGTGAATTACTAGGTCGAACCAATCATTACAATCTGTGTCCAATCATATCGTGGTCAATCGGGTCCCACCTCCCAGGAGCCATAACGCTCGTGGCGTTGCGAGCGTTAAGTGGACCAAACTAGCTAACCAAACGTTAACGTTACGAAACGAAAAAACGCTTCATAAATCATGGGCAAGTTGACCCACCACAGTCGACTATTTTTGAAAATAATCGACTGTGATTGGTCACTTTGCTTGCGGCTAATGGCTTGTTTAGACCCATAAAGAACTAGGATTTAACTAGAAATCTTTTCTTTTGGCGTAAACTCGTGGAGGGCGGAACCTTTTCAAGCTTTGAAAACATTTTTATGAGTTTACTTTTGAAGAAAAGATGCATTGTCGACTGCCGGAGTTCTTCGTCAGTCAGTCGAGTTGCATACGGGATTCGTGCGATGAAAATGTAACCTAATAGTACCATGCTTGGTAACTATATGTACACCCAGCACGTACAATATATTTGAAGGAATATTACCTAATTTCTTGCCGTCCTCGGAGCGTACGGCTGTTGCATTCAACATTGAAATCAACGCACGTTTCTCGTGACAGTTGTCACAGAATAGAAGTCCGAGCGAGGACGAGTGATAATGGCAGCGTTATTTCGAATGAATTGCGTGCAAGGTTTGCGCAAAGGGTTAGCACTGACGGCACGCAGGGAAACAGTTTGTCGCAGGATAACGACGACACCGAGATACGATAAGGAGGAGACTCAACCTGTCAAGAAAAAATGGGTGAGTTACGGCTTCAGTGAAAAGGATGAGGCCGAGGACATTCATGCCTTACATCAGACCATGTTTGTGACCGTGACCCTATGCATCGTATTAGGAGCCACTATTGTGGCTTATTTACCTGACTCAAAAGGCACAGATTGGGCACAGCGAGAAGCTTACCTGCAACTTCGTTACAAAGAGGAGCACGGGCTTCCACGCATTGATCCCAATGTAGTCGATCCGTCTAAAATATACCTACCAAGCGATGAGGAATTAGGTGACATGGAAATTATTATTTAAGAGATGTGATGATGATGACGACAACGAGATTGGGAATTCTATCTGAACTCTGAGTGTCGTTCCTGTTCTCTGTATCTGTAACAGCCTAGTACTTGTTATAATAATGTTATCTAAAGGTGATTAATAAAAAATACTGCTTTTGCAGATTGAAATTTCTGACTTGACATTAAAACTTACCAATTATATAGTCTTTAAATTGTGATCTTTTTCATTGATACAAAACAGTTTCATGAATGTTAAAATCTAAGATTTATTCTGAATTCTTTTTTGTTAATGAAAGTATTTCTAAACATGGCTCAAAAGCACATTTAGAGACACTTTGACTGATGAAAAGAATTCAGAATAATGCTTGTACATCATCATATTTGCAAAACTGTGGTCATATCTGCCACTAGTAATCAAATTATATCTAAGCAAAACTAGAAATATAAATAAATATAGGGGAAAATACGTGAGAGCAATTGTAACATTGATTATTGAAATACACATGGATAAATAAATTGCATAAGATCAGAATGATGCATCATAGCATTGTGTGGGAAGTGCTGTTTTTACAGAATGAATATCAAGTAAGAATTATTTATGTTGCAGAATGTTCAAGACTTATAGCACTCATTATGCCGAGTAAAAGTTGTTTAATAAATATAGGTCAAAAAAATCAGCTCTTTTAAAATTACATATTTTTCCAGTTTTAATAACACAAGTTATTTGTGTTTTCATTGATCATACATAGTGAACAAATGAACAAACGAGTACTTTATATTATTATTTTGTTATAACTTTGACGTTTACAAAAGATGCTCTACATTGTCTTTTATCCACATACTAGATATTTTTATATTACAGAATTGCGAACATGAAATGCACATCTATCACTTCCCAATTAGAATAATAAGTTGACATAATTAAAAGGACTTTTGCTGCTGAGTTTCTTAAACACTGTGTAATCACTGACTATAAGGACAAGTGACTATACTGCACTACTGAAGTAAAATGATAATGAAATATTGTATAAAAGTAGAAGTGAAAAGACCAGAAATTTTTGAAAGATAACATGTAAACGCTTTTCGCAAACATCAAAGTAATAATAGTAGATAATATAAAAATAATAATACAGTAAGATACTTGTTCGTTTATCTACCACCTGATCATAACAGAGGCATACAAATAATTTGCATTACCAAAATTGAAAAAATGTAATTCTGAAAAAGGATCGACTTTTCAACCTATGTCTACTAAACATTTCTTATTCAATATGAATAATCTATCTTGTTAAGTCTTAAATCCTTTTTTTTTAACATCCTGTGTACACATGTGTACACATGTGTGTAGATATGTATATACATACATATATTGCAATTAGGATTTTGTGATTATATATACTTTATTTATGTACAATATTATATTATACTATCCTTTAGTACACATTAAAAAATTTACTATATGCATCACATTCTTGATACTCATTAAGAAACGAAATATAGCTGTTGAATCGTCGCAACGTATGCGAGAGTAGAACAGGCGAGGTATACCGATCACGTTTTCTTTTTGCCGGTGTATTTAATGCTTTATTAGTGTGAAATTTACGCTTGAAAGTCACGCTGGTTCGTTTAATCGGAAAACGTGTGTCCGTTATTGCGCCGATGTTGACATCGACGTTAACGACGGTGATGCGGTTGTGGTTGCGGCGGTAGTATTGGTATTAGACAATTGATTTTGTTGAAGAACAGTCGGATAGAAGGAAGTATTTTGCGGGAGAGAAGCGCTAACCGTGATAGGCGGCATTCCAGGCAGTGAGATCGGTGTTGTTACAACATGAGATTGAGGCATATGAAATCCAGCAGCAGCAACGGTCGCGCTATAAGCAGGATTCTGATCTTTCTGCAGTTCTGCGAGATTGATTGGTGACGTCGGAGTTGTTGTAACTTCGTAAGGACCCGTTGGTAAAACTGGACTGGCCGGCATACCAGGAATGTTGGGAGTTGCTTGATAAGTACCTAAATAATAGAACATATATATCGATAATGATCTAATCTGATTTAATATTTTAATCAATGTCAAAAGAATATGTTTCCAAACATAACTATACTATCTGAAATTTCCTTCTGAAGACTCAATTTCGATGAGAAAAGATTACAGTGTAAATATTTTTCTTTAATATTTAGCAAAATGTGCATTTTGATTTTTATAAGAAAATTCCTTTGTTTCTGAATACTGTTTTTTTTATTCGCGAATATTTACCTTCGCGTGGTACGCTTCTTTAATTTTGATTTCAAGTAATTAAATATTTACATTAAGAACGCAAGGGTAAGATCTGATGTTACTTACCAGGCGTAAAACTGACCGCAGGCTGGTTTGAAAACATGTGGGCTACTGGGCTAATCGGTGTGTAGCCACTAGTACCGATACCGCCAGCAGCACTCGTACCGACACCGGCACCGACTGCTGCACCAGCATTAATACTAGCACCGGCACTAGAACTAGCAACAACGCCGCTGAAATTGACTTGGCTCGTAGTCTGTATTTTCGAACTTGCTCCTATGGTTTGAGGTGGTACAGTTTTCTGTTCAGCTTCCAGATTTTTCACGGAGCTATCTACCGAAATATAATTTGGTGGACCAGATAATCCAGGTGACATATTGACAGCTGGACTATTTCCTGACATGACGATGGTAACGGTCGTTTCTGGCATTTGATCTTGCATAGCGACCTTCATAGTATTCTAAAAGTAAAAAAAATATACTATAAAATAAACTTTGAAAATCTAAGCGCCCGCGAGGTGTTTCGAAATTTATTTTATATATTTTTTATCATTTATTGGATCTAAAATTGTTAAATCTATGCTGTTAGGGAGAATTCACACTTTAGCAAAAAAGCAAAAAGCCAATCAGAACTCGCACTAGTAGTTAAGTGGTGGTCAACAATTTTTGCTCTTTTACCAGCTCGAGTTCTGACTAGCTTCTGTTTTTCTGTTTCTGATCTTTCTGCCAAGATGTGAATTCTGCCTTGGAGAGAAAAACAATTAGTCATTTCTTCAATTCTTAATTTGTAAATTCACAGTGACTTATACTTTATCAGTATACTTCACAGACTATACTTTACAGTGACTTATACTTTATCAATTAAAAGACAAAATTAATAGTTAAACGATGAAAATTTTCAGATTTTGAGACATTTACAAGACTCTATTTATAATTGAAAACTACAGAAATAGACAACTTGTACCGTATATGAATTGGCAGGCTTCTGCTCTAGTACACTCCTAACTGGTATTCTGTGCAGATATCCATATCCTATCCCACACCCTAAGCTGTTAAAAAAATATATATTTTTATTTTTATATTATTTTTTTGATTGTTATTTATATTTTAAGATTTTGATTAATATATATAAAACACTCTGTAGAATACACGTACCTTCCTTCCCCACCCCAGGTATTATTAGGAGTAATAGTCACTTCTCTGCAGTAATCGTCTATAGTGTTATATACATATAGTTTCAGTGGTCGTGATTCGTGAGCTTCGATCAAGGTAAACAGATTCTCACTCTCGTGTAGGATAGAATCCGCACCGATGATGTAATCGGTGAACGGCCGTAAACCAGCCAGTTCTGCAGGAGAAGATGGATGTACTTCCTGCGAATTTAAATGCCAAGTTATTCAATAAATGATGACAAATTGATATGTACTATTAAGTAAGTCTGTTAGAAGCATACTTACAAGTACATGCCAGACATTTTCATTGGCACCTTCAAATGAGCAGAAACGTATACTAACACCCAGTAATCCTTGTCCACCCCATGTCATGCTTGGTACGATGTGAGTCCGCCTTACAGACTTTGTTTTACTACTGTATACTGTAATTATTAATTTCTGGTTCACACTAGCCTTTAGGAGTTCCTTCAGAGTGTCATTATCTTGATCCTATTGAGAGCAAATTTCCAATATATTAAAACAGATTCTATATTTATTAGTATAATAATTATCATGATATATAAAATATAAGTTTTGATTGATTGAGAAATTATAGATAAACAGACCAGTCGAGTATTCCCAATTGCTACAATAAAATCAAAGAATGCTTCCAATCCTGCCTGCTGCCCAGGTGAGCCTTCCTGAACCTGCCAAAAGAAAAATCAAATTATCTCATACTATATGATTAAAGTGAATGTATTGTTTTCAATTTAAACATTGAAGACAAAACTTTATAAATGTTATCATAAAATCTTACTCTTCACTTAATTTTAAGCATGCTGTACCTTGACAAATTTATAATTTAGAAATTACTGGGAAAGATATATATATTTTTTAATAAGTTGATAATTATTTTTTCATAAATAACAAAGACTTTTAAAGTTTCTATTGAGAATTGTTATTTATTCAAATAACTCGTACATGAAAGATGACTCAATAGATTTGACATATTTATTATAAATATTACGATAAAGTAAGTAATGATAATTATACTTTATTGATGACACTTTTGTGATAGTCAATATACCAAATTGAGTCAAATTAAGACTATTGTGAGTTACAGAAGTGTACAATTATGCATAAAGTATTATCATTATTTTTAGCAACATACACATGCACAGGAATCTTAAAAGTGGGTGACGTTTTCGATAATTAGACACTCTTGACAGGACGTCTTACCCCCAATACGTGATAACCTTCTGTACCACCTCCTGGTATTTCCACGCTCTGAGATGATCCCATTGCGACTGATAATTTCTTAGGTCACCTGAGACGAGCAGATAAAAGACATTAAACAAATTGTTGATTTCGCAAATTTGCGGCACACACAAACAGCAAATATACGTGGCACAGGTATCGTAGTGCAAGCTCCACAGTGACGTTACGAGATTGCTATACACCACAGTTCATCTAGTGATATCCTAGCACCAAGCTGGACAACTTCGCATCTCAAATTGCCCTAATTATTACCCACTTTTTATTATACAAAAGTGAATCTAGATGGCGCGACTCATATACTAAATTTATAAAAAGTCGGAGTAGCTTTTCCATTTTTCTCTCTTTACCTCTCTCTGTTTCTCTTTCTCCCTTCCCTCCCTTATTCACTCTTTCACCACCTCTCTCTCTCTTGCTGATGTCATCATGACGTCAAGCGCGAAATTTACGTCGTTTCAGATCTATTGTTGTTTAGCTCTATATTCTCTCTATATCCTTTTTTTATATTTTTCTTTTCTATTCTATTCCAAGATGAATAATAATCTTGTTTTGAGCACGAACAATACGAGAATAACTAAATATTTGTCGGTTTTTTCATATCTACAGGTTATCTCCGCGGCTCCGAAGTTCAGAAAAACCACAAACGACTCGCACAACCTTCGGAGTTGGCATAAATGACGTGTCGTGTAATAAAAGAGAGACAAGGGAGAAACGCCTTTTATAAAGGCTTACCCACGCTCCCGCACGTCAATCGTAGATTTTCTCCAACGAGTCAATCACAAAAACGCGCAAGCGCCGCGTCATTATTAAAACTCGTCAGTTTTAAAACAAGGGCAAGGACGTGGAAGTAGAAACGGTGGAGCGTCGATGGAGAAGACGAGAACACGCTCGACTCTTTCCCCCAAGTAAATATCGTCATGTGAACATTTCAAACACAATAATCGGCGCATTCTCTCGCCAACGATTGTGACAATCAAATTACGCTTTTAGACGCGTCTAAATCGTATACGAGTATTTCGAAAAACTGTTGTTCACTCGTCTTAGGTGCAGCAAGTACAGTTTCTAAGGGGCAGACCTGTTTCGCGCTGACTTGCGCAAAGACGATTTATGCGTAGAGCTACGAGCGAGCGAGGGGAAAGAGAGGGAGGAAGAGAAGGAGAGGAATTGCGAGGGCAGCGATAATCGGTGCACGTATGGTGGGAGTGAAACCGTTCGCGGGATCGGCGGCGAAGGGCTCGCTTGAGGAAAACAAGTGCATAGACGTCACGGAGCTCGCGTTTCTCAGCGATACCGTGCGAAATCGAGCAATCTCTCCTCGCATAGGTTGCGCCGCGTCGACCAAGTGCACCAGCAGCCAGTGCGCGATACACCTGTGCGGCCGAGCCAGCTAGGCTGCACGAGAGAGAATGTCGAGCGCAGGTGTACGCGAGTGTAGGTAGACAGGCAGGCGAGATTCGTGAATGCCCGGAGGGGAATCCATTCCAAGTGTGTGTTGCCGTCAATTTCGAGACATTGTGGCGGCCGGATACGCGCCAGGCGAAATCGCGACCGACATTCCGCAGACTCCCGGGCAGACATCCACGAAAGTGAAGTCTGAAGTTGGCGGCTCATCGAGGAGAGCCTTGTGAGCAGACGAGGCTGACGGCTGGACGGTTGGCTGCGTCGAAAGGAGAACGTCAACGGGAACGTGGCGGAGTAAACGGGACCAGGCAGGTCGTGTCGGGCGCGCGTATGCTGCATCGTTCGGAGAGGAGCTCGCGAATGGAGGCACGGGTACGTCGTGTCGGAAATAGAAATGGAACTCGCGAGAGAGAGAGACTCGCGCGTCACCTGTCATTGTTGTGTTGTCGTGGCCGCGCGAAAGTAGGCCTTTGCCTTGTCCTTTTCATGCAGGGAGGTCAATCGTGAATCTTCTCCCCCAAGGTGACTTGTGAACAGTGAAAAATATGTAACCTTGAAAAAAATATAATGTTCACTTTTTATTACGAGTTTGCATTGAAGAAAGAGATGCGCGATCGTCTTCTGAGTGCCGCAAAATTGCTTACTTTTTACGATTTCATACCAGGAAAAAAACAAATTACATGATTGACGAGTAAGATCGAGTTTACGTGGAAAGATTCACGCGATTGATGCTTCCCGAACTATAGCTGACTTCCTTTCTTTTCCCTCCGACGCTAGGTTATATACTTGTTTCGCTCTAAAGACGGAGTGTGCAGTCTGGTTCAGCTGAGAAGAGGCCTGTTCTTTTTTGCTGAACCAGTGCTGCGCTGGGACTTCGCGTTTCTTCTCAATACTAGATCATATACTTGTTTCACTAGATTATATACTCGTCAGGAAATTTAACCTAGTCGTCAGTTAAAAAGAGCAGACCTGAAGACGGATCTTTTTGTGTTTACTCGCGACAACGACTTCGACGTGAGATCTCCAACATATACATGTCCTGAGATTAGGGATCCGACACAATCAAACGTGCCGATCGATTCGAATTGACACGGCCTGGCGTATCGATCTTTTCCGTACGGTCACTCGCACAATCTCACGTTTACGCGTAACGCGACTCGCTCGCACGTACTTTCTTTCTTCTTCCCCTCCTGACAGCCGTTCTCCTTCTCCTCTCGCCTCTCACGCGTCCCCGCGTCTTTAGATTACGCGATCGCGATGACTCCTCATCGATCACGTCGATCGCCGATGCGCCATCCGTGCGAACGTCACACGTAGCGTCCGTGGGAGTAATTTTCGGTGTCTGTGCTTTCATCAGCAGGTCGACATATGAATGGTGTCGCGGTCACAGGGACACACGCGTTCGTGAATCCGGACAAGATGTCAACGACATCCACCAATGACAGTAGCTTGGTCGTGGAGGGTTCCAAGGAAGGCACGCCGATTTTCCTGCAGACTCGCGCGGCCCAGTGTATCGCTGGTGTATTCGTATGGGTGGCACTCTTTCTCACTTGCCAACAGGTACCTATTGTCGAAATATGCCAACCCGAGATTAGACCTTAATTGAAATTTTCTTCAGACAAAGATTCAAGCCTTTAATCTGAACTCTCTTTCATGTGTAAAAATGCCTCTAAATGTGCTTACAAGCCAATCAGAAGGCTTATTTAGAGTTACATTCAGTTATTTAGAGTTACAAAAGCAATTTTATCAATAAAAGTGAGTTTATATAAGATAAGGACCATAAACTCAAATTAAAATTTTGCACTAAACTATAAAAAATTAACAACATATTTCTTCAGAATGGTCAAAATGATTTTTTCTTTGAAAAAATATATAATACAAAAAAAATGTTTATATACTCTTTAATTTGGATAATTTTTATGAGAAATTATAAACGAATTATTTTTACTTCTGATAGTTTTTACTCTGATAGTTGTAATATTAATTGATGTTGCTAAAAACATTAGCCATAATACAGAGCATTATAGGACGATTCTTTACAATAAAATTGCTGACAATAACCTATTTTTATCAGAGTAGTCAAAATAACAGGTTTTTGAAAAAAATACATAATGCAAAAAAAAAGTGTCCATTTATTCACTCTTAGTTTTATTCAATGTCAATTAAGAGTATAAAATATCTTGTTATAAATTTAAAAAATCTTTATCTTTATATTATAATCCCTCTCCCTCATATTGACTGCTTTTATTAGTAGTTGAAGTATTAGATATACCTTTGTGGTGGATTAAATGTTATCAGTGACTCATTATCATGCTTCTCTCCATTGTGTGTTTGTAGATCTATCAACATTTGAGGTGGTACACGAATCCGACGGAGCAGAGATGGATAGTGCGGATTCTCTTCATCGTGCCCATTTACGCCACGTACTCTTGGCTTTCGCTGTTGTTCTTCAACAGTGAGAGCTACTACGTTTATTTCTTCACAGTACGGGACTGTTATGAGGCGTTTGTTATATATAACTTTCTGTCGCTATGCTACGAGTACCTAGGCGGTGAGGGCAACATTATGTCCGAGATCAGGGGAAAACCTATACGTTCGAGTTGCCTTTATGGGACTTGTTGCCTAGTTGGGAAGACATACACCATCGGCTTTCTGAGATTCTGCAAACAAGCCACTCTGCAGTTCTGCTTAGTTAAACCAGTGATGGCATTTGTCATTATATTTCTGCAAGCCTTTGGCCACTACAGAGACGGAGATTGGTCCCCCGATGGCGGTTACATCTACATCACCGTAATTTACAATATCAGCGTGTCGCTTGCACTTTATGGGCTGTTTCTGTTTTATTTTGCTACAAGAGACCTGTTGACGCCGTTCGAGCCTGTGCTGAAGTTTTGTACAGTGAAGAGCGTGATCTTCTTGTCATTCTGGCAAGGTACGCTTTAATTTCGCTCGTGTCTCACGTGTCTTGCCTTCTACGGAGAATAAATTTAACACTTGGCTGTATTGGATATTGATATAAAAATTTAAAAAACAATATTCTCTTTCACTTAGGAGTCCTACTAGCTATTTTGGAAAAGGCGAATGTCATCTCACCCGTTATAAATAGTTTGGGTCAATCAACGAGTGCAGGAACAGTTTCTGCTGGTTATCAAAACTTCTTGATTTGCATCGAGATGCTGTTTGCTGCTATAGCTTTACGGTACGCATTCCCGTACCAAGTATACGCAGCTGGCTGTGTTACGGATTCCAGAGGTAGAAGCGTGACGATGCAGAGCATCAGTAGTAGTTTAAAAGTACGTATCCTAGAGCGTAGAGATATTTGCGGAGATAATGTCCTGTTATGATAACAATACACTAATGATGTTTTGCAGGAAACAATGAATCCAAAAGATATTATGACCGATGCCATCCATAATTTCCATCCACAGTACCAACAGTATACGCAGTATAGCGCCGGTATGTTCTGCTCTTTCATTACAATCCCTTGTTTTGCGCAATATTGCATATTTATTTTCTAATTTATATGCCGTTTATTTATCTTGATGGACATATCATATACATTTACATCCGCATCTGCTCAATTTTCATATTAGCATGACGTAGTGTGCGATAAGATATCAATTCATTTATCTGCAAGTTTTTATGTGTTTCGTGTATAAAATTTCTTTTCTCTCATTTATTTTCAAAAAGAGAATCAACTAGTAACTTTATAGAAACGCAAAACTGTAAGCGTTCCAATTATAGAGCGAAATTACTTGATATATAATGCCAATAATGCGTGACATTTAGCATAAAACGCACATTTCATTCGCGATTGCAACGCTTCAGTTACAGGTTTTGGCTTTTGTACATAATTTATATTTCACTTACTCATTTGCCGACTTCACTGCTGACCGATGCAGGCACCAATTAATATATTATCCACTTCTGTACACACGTGCAGCTAATTTTTACGCAGGCAAGCCCCGGAAGTCACAGATAGCGTAGAAAGCTTTGAAGAATAGTTTACTAATATGTATTGTTTTACACTAACGAGAATTAGGCCAATGAATATAAAATTTCTTTAACATGTGCCGTTTTGTTAGATTCAATTTCTTTGAAGGCACTTTTGTTTGCTATTTTTCAGACGTTAATACCAACTTGCCGTACGAAAAGCTATGACACAGTGAGCCGTCAGTTTTTTAATTTCAAGAAATTGGACATCGAGCTTAGCGCGACTAAAAAATGAGGATCGAAAGATACACAACACAGCGCACTTGTACTTTGCTTACGGGATTACTCAATGCCTTAAAAATCGCTATCTATTCGCAGGGGGTTGATAAATTCTCTGCTAAGATTACAGAATAAGGGTTGTACTTAAATTGTCATCGATACATATACGTATTATATACATATACAATTTCATCCAATCTTACGATTAACAAACTTTGCTGTATAATTAAGCATTTAACATAAGACAAATATTTAGAGGGAGAGAATAAGCAAGCAAGCAAGAGAAAGAGGGAGAGAGAAGAAGAGAGCAGTGTACTTCTATAGCGTTGCTCTAAAATAAATGTAAAAGATAATTAGGTATTGGTTGAATGTATCGTTCTATTTGTACTTTTTTGTTTCTTTTTTCTTTATTTTTCACTTTTCATAGTCTCACTTATGAGTTTGATATTATAAGAGAGAGAGAGAGGAAGAGCGTTAAATTAATTTTATCGCTTTTATATCCCATCATGGTGTTATGTAGCATGCGAATATACGGTATGAAACGACTCGAGCATGTAAGCACAAATGTTATTGTGTCCTCTTTCCCAACGGTACAGCATATACTTACTGTGGCAAAGTTTTATCACGACCTTAGCTCTGCTTGCGGTTATTTTATTTCCTACTTCTATAATCTCTGCATGATGCCGTTTGTTTTACGGCTACGTCGCATTGATAGTCGCATTTTTTTTTCTCGCACTTGCATATCACTTGTATGCCGTAAAAATATTAAACTTTGTTGCTCCGCTCAAATCTTCCGCGGCTCGTCCCGTCATCGCTGTCCGTCGATGCGATTTTGACTGCCGATTGCAATCCCGCGAGCGTAATTCCGGAGCAAGAATGTTTGAGATGCGAGTGTGACATTCCGACGAGCGTGTGTCGTTTTCCAAGTCTTATCTCATCGGGATCTCACAATACGAAATATTGTAAATTAGTGATCACAGTTGTGTGCAGTTTGCACTCGCGCGCAAAACGGTCGGCCGATGCCGTTGTATTGGCCGATCGACGCCTTTTCTTTTATCGTTTGCCCGTAGCGCGTATGCTCGCCATTAGCTGTAATGTTATGTAACATGATATAACGATTAGGGGGCCCGAAAGGACAACGTGGTATGCGAGTATCCAGCTTCGATCCGGACGATCCGCAAAACATGCCGGTACCACCACCGCAAAGGCGAAACACTTCTCATCAGCGTGTCGCCACGATTTCGCAAAACTATAACGAGAAAACGATGTTGCTGAGCAGCGACGACGAATTTCAATAAGGCGTACGCAGGACTCGTGCATTATACAGACACGTAAACGGAAACAGTTCAGAGAATACGAGCTAAATTCGAGAGATGTATGTTGACGAACACATTGACATTATTAACATGAACGCGGGACTTCCATGAACTTCTAGAAATCTGCTTTCAATGAAGAAGAAGACAAAAAGATACATTTATCATAAGCGAATTGCGCGATGCGAACTTAATTATTAGGTAGGAACACGACTCGCTCACACGGGATACAAATGACAGATTTAAAGGGAGAGGAAATGAATAAAGGAGGAAAGGAAATGTCGCACGCACGCGCACACGGACGCACGTGGCGTAAGCATGCGTTACACCGCGCTGTAATAGAGTTCCATAATGTTACATCCATGTTAATATATGTATTATGTTATAACATACGAGTATAGTATAGAAGATATTTATTTTAATATGCTGAGACGTGTTTGAAGCAGTGTTATTCTATATATCTGTGGCTCTACTACGACACTGTAACAGGTGTTTAACACGCACGATAAAGCTTACACTTCGTGACAAAGTAAATGTAATTGTATAGTACTTAATTTTACGGAATCACGTTTACGCGTGCCCGTCGCGATTCTTTCGTTTCGATGAATACGTCGGTCCTCGCCCTTATTTACACTTTTGTATTTTGTTTTTACTTAAGGATCAAATCTCGCGCGATATCGCGTCTGTCTCTCCGTAGGAACTTGAGCCACACACATACAACATACACATACACAAAAAGAAGAAAAATCTTTGCGTCCTTCTCTACAGTCCTATGAAATTATTCCTTTCTTAGTCTTACGAAATTCGTACGTGTATATATACCATTGAGAATTATATCTGAGAAAAGATACAGAGCGGACTTCTCCTTGAAGCATCCGTTGCGCCGATAGGAGCCTTTAAATATAAAAGAAAAGAAAGAATATAACGAACACTAGCAAGAAAGTGCAAAAACAATTGATGAGTATTGTGTCAGATATGAATAAATATTTGGTATTTGGTGTCTCACGTGTACAACTGTGTATATCCTTATATTTTTTTTAAAAGCGCAACAAAGGATAATAATCGAAAGAAAGACAGAGGTTTACGAGTAAAGTTCTATTTTATAATAAAGCATACGAGACTGCTCGCGTATATCTCGTTAAAAAAACGTGTTTAAGAACAAACGCGAGGAACAGGATATGCAAAACGGTGAACAAGTCTTATTGTCCTACTTATTACATCACATCGTAAGAAAAACAAGACAATTATTCATAGAATATTATTTATTTACACGTAAAACATCTGTTAATAATACCTCGATTTGTAGAAAATATACATGCACACATACATATACACACGTATATGTATATGTTGTATAGAGAATAATTTATATGTATGTTGTGTGTGTGTGTGTATGTGTATATATATATATATATATGTATGTATATATATATATACACATATATAACATTTTAATTATATATATATAATAATAATCTATCAATGCTTTCTTAAAATATGTTAGTCAACTCGAATACCATATTATTACTGTTAGAAGAATAATTTAGAATGTTACTCTCAACAGCCTTTAATTTTTGGCAAAGGAAAAAAAGAAAAATAAAGATATAATATTGTGTACACATTTTTCGATAAAACGATTCATTTTTCTACTCGTAATTATGAAAGCACCTTCGATTATGGAGTTGCACTACCAGCCGATCCAATATGATCGATTGTTCGTCACGATTTGCTTCCAACCGTGCCAAGGAGATTCTATGTTTGCGAGCGACATTAATATTTCCGGCAGTGCGTTATTATCGACATACGATTGTACGTCTTCCTCTTTATCTTCTTCATCTTTCACTGACGCGTTTTTCCTCTCATCCTTGTCGCCATCATCATCATCGTCGTTGTCGTCGTTATCGTCGTCGTCGTCGTCGTCGTCGTCCTCCTCTTCCTCCTCCTCCTCCTCTTCCTCCTTTTCAATATCCTGATATTGCAACTGGTCGTCCATGTAAATGACTACATTATTATCCTCATTCGTATACTTATCGTACTCTTCGGCGACGTCCCGTCTCGTCACCTTGCTCAAGCTCACGAGCTGATTCTCTCGCTCGTTTTGGACGATCCACTTGTCGAACGGCGATCGCGGCTCGATGATGGGTCTGAAGCCGATCGACCGGAGCCGCGCGATCCGCAGGTCGCTATCAAACGTGTTGACCGGCACAAACGCCGACGCTCTGCCCTTTAACGACTTCTCCGTCAACGGAGAGGTCTTCTTGCGCAACGATGCCGAAGAGCTTGCATGGCATTCGTCGCTTTCCGTAAATGCAGAGGTGGCGACGCGAAGCGTCGTCGCGTAAATCTGAGAGCCTTGATCGTTGCACACCACGTCGAGCACAGACTCCGGCTGCAGCTTGACCCTGCGGTCGGCCGATCGTCCGGAAGACGTGTATTCGGTTTGCTGGTTTCTCTCAAGGCCACCCTCGATCGGGTCCTCGAAGATCAGCCTACACTGCGTTGTTGCGTCCATTGTGCTGGGCTTCTCCACCTGCTGTTTTTTGCGAAAATAATGCAACCGCGAGGTTTGCGACGTACGTCGTGACAAAGGTATTGTTTGTACCAGCTTCTTCCGCAGACTCCTATCGAAGGAAGTTTTAGGAACGTTACAATCATTCGTGTCGTTGATCGTCGCGCTTCTGCTCTCCTTCTTCCTGTTGCCCACGTTATTACTACCGTTGTAATCGCGATCGTCGTTGGTGTCGGTGTTCTTCGTCGTCTCGAAACTCTCGTCCTTAGTAGTGCTATTCACATCCTCGGTGGTGGAACTCCTCGTGCGCAAGGTGCTGGACACTCTATACCTGTCCTTGCTCTGCCTGTCGCGAGCAGGTTGCCGGGCAACTTTGGTCGGCTTGCTCTTCCGTTTGAAGCCCGACTTGTAACGCTGTTTCTCCGTGATCCTGTTGCGCTTGCCTGGCGAATACATTATGGTGTTCAGAGTGCTGTAACATCTTTTGTTTGTGTACGTATTATTGATGCATCGCAGCCTCCTGTTCCTGGGTCCGCGCGTTTTCGGGCCAATATTCGCGTCTATCGACAGGTTGGCAATTTCTCGGTCTCCCTTCTTGTTGAGTCTGCTTTTCTTCATCGGCGAGCTGGGGAAGTCCTGCTTCGTCAGCACGCTTTTGTCGGCCCGCAGCCGCGTTTTTATATTATCTAATGCAGCGTACGCACTGCGTGTATGCTGTGCGATTGCCTGAAGTGGAGATTGCACATGAAACGGAGACAAGTACTCGTTCTCCTTGGATCTATCGCTGGGATTCTTCATGCGAGCGTTGCTGTTACAGTTCTGATCCACATCGTTGCGGGACTGTCGACGCAGCACCTTGTCGAGTTTTCCCGTGTCCGCCTGTTTCGACACCTTCCACGACAGCCTCTTGGAACGCGGATATCTGCAGTATCGTCTGTTTAAGATGTCCTCGGACAGACAGGCGACGTTCTCCTTCGCGTTGTCCCGTTGCTTATGACTGATCTTCGACGTCGTGTCCGCGACGGTCACTTTCGATTCGTTCAACATCGAGCATTCCTCAGTAGACAGGCCTATTACATTCCCGATCAGCATCATCGATAGAGGATGATGCTTCTCCCTGTTGATCAGATTCAAGATCTTGTCCGGCGTCATAGATTCCAAAGACTTGATGTCCTGCGTGTGGAACAATTCACTCGATTGCTTTGCAGCGTTGTGATGCGTGGAGATTTTCTCGCGCGTTGCGTCCGACTTCTTCGGTGGCTCACTGGCGAGACTCGATACAGGCATTGACGCGTTCGCGGTCTGTCGAGTATCTCGCAAGTGTTCCCGAAACACGCTATTGTTCGCGTCGTTCTTGTGACCGCTCAACGGCGACGACGCGGCGTATGGCGAGCAGTTCGATGGGTGCACGTCGTGAGAACACGAGTCGTCTTTCCTGCGTTTGCTCAAAGGACAGGTGGGTTCGTCTGCGACGTGACCGTTGCAGGACGCATTCTCGACCACTTGAGGATTCACCCATGTTGTAGCGTCCGCGTCTGTCCTCGCAACGGGCTTGGGATCTTCCTTCAGTGGCGTGCGCGCGTCTATATCCAAAGCCACGCGGTTGGCAATATCGATTGGCTTAAAAGGCTTGTGCAACATCGTCGCGACGCTCTTCTTCGTTTCCTGCACGTTGTGCGATGACTCGTACAGACCCATACGTATTGAGATATTTGTACTGTGAGTCTTCGTCGCTGATGTACCAAGGCACGTTAAAGTCTTTCGATCAGGTACAGAGGTTGAGCAGGTTGTGCTCTCCGCGTGGCTCGGCTTCTTGAAGACATGGCGCATGACGATGGAACTCTCAGGTACGGACTTCCTCGTGTCGAACGACGGTATCGTCTTCGCGACCGGCAGAGCTTCGCGATTGAATTTCCGCTTGCCACAGGCGCCGTCGCTGTTGGGCGAACATTTCCGCAAGTCGTATGTGTTGGAACTGGCGCACGGCTTCGGATGGTTCGTTCTCGCGGACGTGTGTCGCGCGGAAAGTGAGACTTCGGAGCTTTCGTTGCTCCAGCTTGGCGGCCCTTGGTCGGCGAGACGCATCAGAACAAATTTGTTGTGCTTGGTCCCATCCGCGTTCACGCCTATCCAGTAGCCTAGAACTATGTAGAGCCCGTCATATCTATAGCCTGTGTTAGGCGCTATATCGTTCTGCAGATTGTAGCTACGAATTAATCTCAGTGGTATCTGATTCTTGTAATTGTGAATGAGCGGATCCGCACTTGGTTGCTCCTTATGATACACTTGGCCCGTGAGCGTGAGAAAATCACCAAGATCCACGTCCTCGTTCATGTTGGCATGCGAGGTACACACGGAAGCAGCTCCAAAGGGTCCCTCATGCACATCGACATTGAAAGGATTGTGCACACCATCTCTGGAGCAGTCCATACGTATTCCCCACCAAGAGCCAGGTGGAAATTCAGGGATCGGGCCATACCAGCAACTTGTAACCTTTTCACATGTATTCTTATCAATAAAATTGATCGTCATGCAATATTGTACAGAATAAAACACAATTATTGATTGTGTAAATTATGATGTTCTATGTCTATGTATAAACAATGTAAACTGTAAGTTTGTTCTTTTTAACTCAACTAGAGCTGTACTAGAACTTTGTTCCTTTTCTATTCAATGCTAAGTTATATATTTGTCTCATTTTAGGAGCAAAATGTACAGCTAAAGAGAACAGACTTTAAATATGAGATGTAATCGATGCAGTAATGCAGATCAATAATTTATAAATATTACTTAAACAACGTATGGCTTGCTCTAAAATTGAGACAAGTTTATATTTTTATTTAATCTTTAGAATGATGTAAATTTATGAACGTTGTTTCTTAAGCCAGTTAAAGTTCACAAAATCCTTTAGTTACACTCTTATCTTTATAGCCAAATCTACTAATTTGTCACATAATAAAAAAAATCCATGCAACTTGTTATCTTTCTTAAACATAATTAATATCCAAAGCAGTTATAATGATTCAGTTTCTTTTGTATATTTTAATCTAATTTGAAATGATTTATATAGTTTACATTGTCTGTATGAAAAAAGATGTATACTGTGTATACATTGAATAGATAATGTAATGTAAACAACTTTCATACTTTATAAGAACTTGGTTTTTCTTACGATCAACAGGAATTGTACAGTTTTGAGGTTTCAGGTAAAATTCAGTTACAAGATTTTATTGAAATCATAGAATATAAACAAGAAATTTAACTGCGACGCTGATTATAAGATCAGATTTTTCTAAAATTTCAACAAATAAGGATGTCAATAATCACGTATCTTGCTCCAATCATTTGTATGATAAGAATCATTTAAAATCAGGAAACTTACATTTCTATTGTAGCACGATAGATTCAATTTCTCTGAGTTCCTCGCCGAATACTCGTCGACAGCTTGATTGAGTTTGCGGAACAATCTGTTCAGGTCTTGTCTAGCTCGGCCTTTACCCTGCGACACATGAGACGCGTTAACGCGATAACGGTGTTAATAAATGCGATACGACAGCAGCTATACGAGATGGTATAGGTGGTGCCGAATAAGACGATAAAGGTACAGATAATATCGCGATGAGACGAGATACAACATTCAAAGGATAACATTTGGTGACGCAGTACCTGGCTCTTAATTCGCGCCTCGCGCAACCTCTTCTCGTTCTCCTGAATTGTATTCTCGTAGATACACTTGGCGACGTCATTGCTCGACCTCGTCATTTTTTTCAAACGACGAGGATCATAAGCTAGACGCGTCTCGCGAGCACGACAGTTCTCTTCCTCTCGGACGGAGTAGCCCGTCCTGTGAATGCAAATGGCCGCTATCACGGCCGCCGTCCCGTCGATAACGCGAGATATACTTCGCGCCGTCTGAAGACATGTGACGGATTAGGTCTGTTCGTGTTACTCGCTTTCCCGCTTTTTTCTCGTCCTTTCTCTCTCTCACTCACTCACATATTCACTCTCTTTCTCTCCCTCTCGGCCCCGAATGTTTATCCGCTTCTATCTGATATGCGAGCGGATCTAACCGCAAGTGTCGATGCGTGAGTCAGATTGTTGATATCGAATGTTGACAGTGAAATGTTGACGATTGGAAGACCTATCGTCAGTTGGGCATATTACACAAAGCAGAAGCTCGTGGAGCGACATGGATCTCGCGAGGAGAATGGCAAATTTGACCGCGAATTACGCAAGAGCGAGCGTGAGAGTCGAAGAGACATGGAACAGATAAATAAACAGAACAGACTTCCGGTGTTTCAGCGGCGAGGACTGGAAACGGGGCTTGACGAGAGCGAGCGCGAACGGCTGTCGCGCGCGACTACTTGTAAGCGAGGTTTAAGGAAAGCGGCCCTCAGTGCGCGTCATAGCCGCAAGATGGCGTAATACGTGCGACGCTGCTTTTGACGTTCGTGCATGAGTTTTTTTTGGTTCCTTCTACTTTGAAAACGCCAGGAAGTGATTTTTCCTAGCGCGCCGCTTAGTCCACGCACGGCCGATCGAGTATGTGCTGGAAGGCGTTAGCCGCGACGCGAGCCGTTCGACTAATCGGTATTTCGATTTCGAGTACGTAGTACTCCGCCTGAGCAAGGCGCGCACGAGGTCCCGCGATTGGCCAGTTTACGAAAACGACGATGGCTCCGTGAGGAGAGGAGAACATGGCTGCGACGCAAGCCGAGAGCCAACAAAACGATGTGAAGCTGAGCGAGTCCGTGAAATGCGCACAGAAGCGTACGCAAGTCGGTGGGAATAGTGCGAGTGCCAGTGCGAAGCAGCAGCTGGATCCGGAGCCGGACGATAAAGTGTCCCGGGGCGCGGCCCAGCTGCTTAAATATGTGAATCGCGGCGGGGACAACACGGGCTACGAGATGAGTCAATACCGCGAGGACATTGGACACACTGCTGCCGGTGAGGTAAAATCACCGCGCGAGGTTGGCCAGGCGCCTCAGGAGCCCGTCGGCAAGCAAGAGGGCCACGATGCGCCCGGCCACCCCGGCCACCCCGGCCATCCGTTCGCGCCAAACGTGATGCGCGACTACGCCGACGAGTACAGCAACAAATCCAGCGAGTTCGCCGCGAGCAAGTCGCTCTCCGACTATCCGGCCGGTAAGCAGTTACCGGAGTATGTGACCAAGCACGCGGACTTCCCCGGCAAGCAGCTGGACTACCATGGTAAACACTTGATGCACGAGAGCGAGCGGGCGCACAGGGCCGAGATGGAGGAGCATTATTCCGCCTCCAAGATCGAGTCGCGTCTCACGTATGTCAGCGCGAACCCGGCCAGCTACTCGGGCCAGCCAAGGTTTCTCTCTGGACAAAGTATATCCCAGGCCACTGGCCCTACGCCTACGTTGAACCAGTTGTTGCAAGCGTCCACACCGGTGCATCGACTTCATGGAAATTACCCTGGAATGGCACCAGAGTCCTATCAGCAGCCATGGCCTATGCAGAGGCCACCAGTTGTACCTCCTGTTTATCCACAACCTAGCCAGCGTCCTCCACAGACGGTAAATTCATACGCTTTACGATTCACATGTGCGCTGCAGAGTTACGCTTAGGTTAAGCTCCACAATGGAACGTAAAGTAGTATTGGATTGTGGTCTAATCTTTATTTCTTGTTCTTTGAGTCATGATACTACTGATCTCTCTCATGGATCTGGGATCCTCTTTCTAATTTTGCATACTCAACTCATGCGTATGTGATTCTAATTGCTGTGTGTCTTTCCAAACCACCAGGGTTCACCAAGATTACACGCAGGACCAGGAGGACAGAGTTCCCCAACACCCATGCAATATCAACAGTATACCCAACGATATTCCTCTCCAGCAAGACCTCATGCACCCTACAGTCACCATCAGGTAAACAGATCTACTTTTGATTGCATTGTTTAGCTTTAATTTGCACTGCTCAATTAGAGGAAACTAACTCAATTAGATCTTAGCGTTACTAAGGAATGTTCACTTGTGTCTTTTTAGTTAAACTCTTATACGACGCAAACCAGTCATCCATCAAGCCTATATACAGAACAAAGGTGGAATCAAGGTGGCCCATCAAATCCACCACCACCACCGAGTAATCAAGTCACTCCTTCGGGTCAGTCACCACAGCGTGCTTTGTCTCAGTCACCAGCTCCACCACCTGCTGCATCACCCCAGCCACAGGCTGCTAGCCAATCCCAGGTGAGTATCTGTGGAAACTAGCGCAATTACTGGTTGCTGATCATTTCTAATACTACTGGAGTGTGTTAACATTGTTAGAGACAATCATTTTCCAATAGTACCATAGGAGAATATATTCAGCAACATGAATGTACTTTAGTATTTGTACTTGACCTATAAAGGTACAATCTCATTACGAAAGAGACACAAAGTAACTGACATAGACTGATTTTTCAAGTGAAACAGACAGTAATAACTTCATGCTGGACTTAAAACAATGTTTTTCTTTTTTATGAATGAGAATACATTAATCAAGAATATCCTTAATACATGTTAAGAAGATATACAAAATGTCCGTGAAAATATACAAAATAATGGATAGTTTAAGTGCACAAATAATATACAAAGTGGATCTTTTACTTTAATCCTTTGTTTTATAAATTTACGACGTGACACGCCGAATTCTGTAAAACTTGAGTTACTTGAGGTATTTGAAAGTTCTAAAAAGACATGTACACGTGACAGAACCAGTGATACCCGTTAATATTTTCGAAAACATGTGATTTACGATTGAAACGTACAAAAGCGTACATAATGTAGGAGTAATTGAAAAATGCATGTTAGAATATTTTTTTTATATATAAAAATGGACCATTAATGAAACCTGTCTTTTTTTTTAGGCTTTCCACAATCTGCAACAGCGAGCGACAACACCAAATACTCAAGGAATTGATTCAGGGGTGAGTCTCTGCATACATACATTCGAGATAGATTAGATCTAATAGAAGAAAAAATTCAGTACATCGACATCGCGTTTAGAGGCTCTTTCTCTCGAGACGATTCGAGCAAATGCGCGTGAAAAAAAAAGGTAAAGCATCGGGAATGTAGCAAACAAGTTTTTGCACGCGATTGCATAATCTCAGTCGTGACAGGAACGATATCGTCGTAGAGCATTCACGTACACGTCGTATCCATTATTTTCTCGTGCCGCAAAAGCCACGGCATTCGATGGATCGACGCCGGTCGGGAATCATGTTTTAATTCGAGACAACACGTGCGTGCTAAGGCATCGTCCAGTCGGTGAAGACGTTCACCGGTGTTCTGCTCGGCGTTGCGCCCATCCGATCATGGCGAGCTCGGACGGATGGCGGATTCTCCGTTCGACGAGGTGCTCTGTTTGGTCTTCGGCATGATCTTAGTACTCGGTCAAGTACTTTCCCGACGAAAAGAGCAAGCGAGAGTGAGCGAAAGGGAAGTCTTTCGCGAAGAGCGCGAGGAGTTAGGAGACTAGGGAAGTGGTGGATGAGGAGGCGACGGCGGAGGAGGACGAGAACGAGGAGGAAGGGGAGGATGAGTAAGGGCGGAAGAGAGCGAGGAGGGAGGAGAGCGCGCGCGGACAACGGCGACGGTGGGGATGGAGAGTACGGTCGACTCGTAGAGTTCGATTAGGGCGCGAGTTGCGCGGCCGCCGGAGCCCCAGATATTAGCGACTTCCCCGCTGTTTCCCCTCCGCGTATGTGCGCGCGCGCCCGGTTCGCCCCCACTCCGGCGGCGTTTGCATGGATAGGTAAACGAAAGAACCGAGCGGGACGCGGATAACGCGACGGCGGAGCGGGCCGACGCGAGCCCGCGATTGGCCGACGACGACGACGGCGGCGGCGGCGGTGGCGGCGCTCCCCCCACTTCCGCGCGACGTGACGTTTTGTGTTCGCGCTCGGCTATATTCGGTTCGCCGGATCATGCGACTGTCACTCTGCGACACGCTATCGAACTTCTTGCGCTCCCACGGCGCGGCTCCGAGGCGTCGTCGGAACGCGATCGAAATCTGCTTGCTTGCTTGCTTGCGCGGGATACTCTCCGTGGAACGAAGAGCGCGGCGAATGGATTACCGCGGGATTACCAGCGCGACGTCCGGCCGGGAGTTTCCGGACGTCGTCGTCGTCGTCGCCTTCGCCGTCGCCGCCGTCGTCATCGCCGGCATCGAGCGCGGTCGGCACCCGCTCCCGACGGAGCGCACCCCGAGATACGCTTCTCGAGATAATATTCCGCCCGCGAGATGCGCGATGCCCGAAGGGAAATGGGATATCGTGGGATACCGGGCGAGCGAGCGAGCGTCAGCTCGGAGTGTCCGCGATCTTTAGGGGATCGTCTCCAATACGTGGAATGAGCTTAACATATGAGGCAAGAGTTAGTGGCCATCTACAATGCGCGGAGTAAGCATGGCGTAAGTTGGAGTTAGGAATATAAAAATTATTTATTTCGCTTATGCCTGTACTCCAACTCTCCTACACCGGAAGTATTTCTCTTCATTGTAGAGCGACGTCTACAATAAGAACTTGAGCTTTACGCCGTAAAAAATTGACTAATCACAGTCGATTATTTTCTTCATATTTCACTGTGATTAGTCTATTTCTTACGGCTCAAGGCTTAAAGCTTAAGTCTTATGGCTTAAGTTCTCATTATAGACACCTCTTTACCTAAGAGAGAAATACTTGCGGTGTAAGGGAGTTGGAGTATAGGCGTAAGTGGAATAAATTATTTTCATTTTTCATTCCAACTCACGCCAAGCTTACTCCGAATATTTTGTACACGGCCACTAAGAGTGAGAAATAATACTAATTTATTTCACCAATGTATACATCTAAACTCTATCTCCCTCACACCGGATGTATTTGTCTGACAGAAAGACTTTCGGCGTCAGGGAAGTGGAGGCTATATAAATCTGAGCGAAATAAATTATTTTGATTTCTCACTCCTTACGCACCAAGCTTACTCAACGTATTGTAGACGGCCACTGGAGTCAACCGCGAACGAATCGTTCGCGTAGTACATGCGCTCTCGGTGCCGTCGCGCGAGCGAGTACCCGCCATGTTACCGACTCGATCTACGGCGTTGCGAAATAACGAGGTCGCCGGATCTATTCCGCGACCGGGAGAAATCAATCCGCGAGACGCTGTGAATGCGATAAACGTTTGCACTTCTTTTTTTCTCTCGGATTTTTTTTCCAGGAATTTTTGCGAATCAAGTCGACTCAAGTCGAATTAAGCCTTCGTTAGGCGTGTGTCAAAGACACGTTGTTTTATATAATGTGAGTCCTCATTCTAGGGGTCAAAATCATGAATCTTTTTCCCTCAGTGTAAACTCGTGAAAAGTAAAAACTTCAACCTTGAAGATACACGCAAATGTTCACTTTTCAAGGGTTTATATTCAAGGGAAAGATTCAAAATCGCCTATGAGTACTGCAAAATTATTCAATTTTCGTGATTTATTTCGTGATTTCATACTATGGAAAAAATTACATGATTGATAAGATCGAGTTCACGTGAAAAGATTCGTGATTGGCACCCTAAACTCTCTTTTATCGATGGAAGTGCCTCTAAATAATGCTTATGAGACATTCGGGAGAATTATATGGTAAACGTCTCTATGATTTACTACGTTCTAATAATTGAATGTTGTGAAACATTAATGTTTGTTTTTAATATTTCTAAAACGAATCTTTGAAATTTTTGGTAAGAGAGAGATATATTAATTTATAATATTATTTAATTGTCATTATCTAATATTTTATCTTTTACATATATATATCATGAAAATTATAACTAAAATTTATTAATTATTTTACTTCTTATTACTTCTCGATTGCTGACAAATCAAAATTTGATATAAACGTTGATTTTATTAGAAATTCCAATTGTTTATCAATAAAAATATAAAACTGATTGTGCTTTCTTATTGGTCAATCATTGGAGCATTTATGTCAAGTCACATTTTATCAATAAAAGAGAGTTCAGGATAAAGTTATTGGTCTATTGTGTATATATATTTTCGAGAAAGTATACTTCTTCGCAAAATATGCATCTATACTTTAAGAGAAAAAATACCTAAGAAGCAAAAAATATTTATTCGATGGATACGATAATGATATATTTACTTACATTAATATAAACATTTTGCAAATAAGAAAATATGCATTCTCTGAAAACCTTAGCTTTTCACGAAAGCAATTGTTCATTCTTTTTAAAAAAAAGCTATATTTAAGTAAATATACTGTTAATACCCATCAAATAAATATATTTTGTTTTTTATATATATATTTTTCATGGTACAATGATAAACCAGGCGCATAGTAAAGGCTTAATGTCGATTGTCGTGTTCTTATAGAGTGGAATGAGGCAAAAAGTGTTGCCTTTAGGATTTTCACGCTTTTGAGAGACGGAGAAACTTCTTTGTTTTCTTTCTTTTAAGCAAGTAGAGGTCGCGAATTGAACAATCTACAGGTCTAGAAACAGCGAATTAACTCACTTGAATCTTTGCAGTAAGGTAAAAGTACCAATACCGGATATGTAGCTAATCCTGAACATTATTATTGTTTTGGTTTTTAAACATAGATATTTAAACTTTCAACATAAAATATACAAGTATTGAGTATATACATACATTCTATGTTAAATGTTTAAATATCCGCACTTAAAAACCAAAACAATAAGAATGTTCAGAATTGGATACGTGTCTTGGAATTGGTACTTTTACCTTAGTAGAGGACTATTGAGAGGCCGGTTAAGTTAAAAGTTGCCCCCTGCGAAATATTCTCGACGGCGTGAGCGGTGGTAAACGGTTAAAGGGACTTTACGCGCCGCCACGGCGTACGGTACACGGTCAATAAACGTCGATACATCGGCGGTAGAGTTCGAGTGGGCGCAATCCGCGACGATACACGCGCTCTACGTGGAGCAGAGCTAATCGTAAACGCGTAGCAGACGATCCAATGTAAACACGACTGATGGGAACACATGGTATTTAGTCTGCTACAGGTGATCTCACCGCGGCTGAAAGCGACGATACGACCCGCGTGTATCGAGATTGTCGTAATACCAGAGGCGCGTAAGGAATACGTTACGAAGACGTGGGGAGATTATTTTCGCGTGTCCGCACTCGAGTACTGAACGTAACAAAATCTCAGTGTTGATCATCGATCGCTATAATTTTCTCTTTCTCTCTCTCTCTCTCTCTCTCGCTTGCGCTCAACGGATCCCCCGAAGTTGAATGAACCTCGCATTCAGTTGTTGTCGCGAATCGCAGTTGGTGGGATAATAACATTACGACGACCGACAGATAAATATAATGTTATGTAACGAGCGATCTTGCGCTCGCAGGAACACCGGCGCATATGCGTGCATATATTTATTGCGTGTATATACATTCCGTGCATACACACACGCTTTCTCTCTCTCTCTTTCTCTCTCTTTCTCTCGGATTATTTACGTTTTCATTCACGCGCATCTCTCAGTCGTGTTTGACCGGCTTGAGAGATACTGATCGGGCCCCCTTCCTTCCCCCTGCCGCGCACTCACGGTGTATCTCGTGAAGTTCAACGTGCGTATCGAACGGATTAACATCGGCCGTCCGATAACACGCAAGTACTACGGGACTTCTCCGTGACAATGGATCGTGTGTATCAAAACAACGCGATGACACTCTCGATGACACAATCGGTGATCGCCGAACCGATTCCTGAGACACGGACCCTCTCGTGGGTTCGCATTTGAATACAAACAGGCGTTCAGGGTGTCGATCATGAATCTTCTCCCTTAGCGTGAATCGTGGAAAGTGAAAAGTTCCATTGAATTCGCCAATAGAACTCTTCACTTTTCACGAGTTCACGCGAGAGAAGGAGAGATTTATGATCGATGAAAAGTCGGATGCAAAGTGGTCGAGCCCAAAGTCAACAATCGCGCGC